GGTGAGATGATATCTCATTGTAGTTTTGATCTGCATTTCTCTGATGGCTAATGATCGTGAGCATTTCTTCATGTGTCTGTTAGCTGCCTGAATATCTTCTCTGGTGAAGTGCCTGTTCATATCCTTTGCCCATTTTTTAATTGGGTCATTTGTCTTTTTGCTGTTGAGGTTTTGGAGTATCTTGTAGATTTCAGAGATTAAACGCTGATCGGATTTGTCATAGCCAAAATTTTTTTTTCCCAATCTGTAGGTTGTCTTTTCACTCTTTTGGCGAAGTCTTTGGATGAGCATAAGTGTTTGATTTTTAGGGGCTCCCATTTATGTAGTCTCTCTTCTGGTGCTTGTGCATTGTTACTTATGGTTTGTATTGTGTTTATGCCATGTATTAGGGCTCCTAGCATTGTCCCTATTTTTTCTTCCATGATCTTTATCATTTTCGATTTTATATTTAAGTCAAAGATTTATATTTTATTACTGCCTTCTAGTGTTCCTTTTTGGTGACCAGGTGCTGTCAACAGTCACAATTTCTTTACTGAAAGTCAATATTATATTTATTAAAATAGCATGGTACTGATCTAAGGTTTATAAAGATGAAAAGCTGTAGTAATAGGCAATCTGAAGCACTGAAGTACATATTTTCATTGTACTGACAGGCAATCTGTTAGCCTATGAATTATAAGCAAGCCAGTGTTCTTCAAAGCCAGAGTTCTTCAGGGTGTTTTAACAGCTTTCATTTACATAGAGCAAGATAAGATTTGACAGTCCAAATCAAGCTCAGAGAGTTGTTTTTCCAAGAGCTTGTTTCAGACTTCTCAGTACTAACCAAAAAACAAACCAAACCGAACCCATTGCCATCAAGTCGATTCCGACTCACAGTGACCCTATAGGTCAGAGTAGAACTTCCCCACAGGGTTCCCAAGGCTATAAATCTTTATGGAAGTGGACTGCCACATCTTTCTTCTGCAGAGCAACTGGTTTGAACCACCAACCTTTCGGTTAACATCCGAGCGCTTAACCACTGTGCCACCAGAGCTCGTACAATACTAACCAGTGGTCACCAAGCCAATTCCGACTCATGGCGACCTCATGTGTCAGAGTAGAAAACCATAGGTTTTTAATGGCTGATTATTCAGAAGTAGAACACCAGGACTTTCTTCAGGTGACTATAGATGGACTTGGGCCTCCAACCTTTCAATTAGCAGCCAAGTACATTAA